TCAAGACAAGAGTGCAGTTGCATTATAGTCCCCTGGCACTAAGGACTTTCAAGACATGTCATCAAAACAAGATAGTGCTTGATATACAAATAGGGATAGTCATTCATGCTAAATCAAATACTTTTCATCAAAACAAAGCAAAACGAGATTTATCAAAACAAGTATAACATAGCTTTATTAAAAATACCACTCACATAGCTCTTCAAACGTCGGGGTCGAGACAAGCCCAAGTCCTACAAACACATGGCAAAGTCTATTGAATGCACTTTCAAACAAGTTTCATATGTATACCAATGATCTCGGAAAAACATGCTGGGCACTAATCAGGTCTAGGTCGAGGTTCCACACCTCCTTGCTGAGGTATGTCCCCGAGGGCCACATGCAAGGAAAAGAGGTCGGGAAACTCTGGGTTTCCCTCTGCTGATGAACATGAAGAACATGAGTACGAAAACATGAAGAATATGAATGTTCATTTACAACCTGTTATTACAAAAATATGGGATTTTCATGCTACGAGTTTGAAAACATGGACCTGGGTACCCGTACTTGAAGTTCTTGCGGAAATAAACACAAAAACATGATTCTCTATGCAAGCTTTCGGATCAAAACAACACTTTTTCTTCAAGAACGTATGAACATTATTTTCTCTTTCTAAAATCAGTTTCAAATTAATGCATGACGTGCAGAACAGGTTCGATCATGCAATGCAGCTAGATAAACACAAGGAACAACAAGATTAAGCCAAAGATCTAACCTCAATACACGAATCTAACGCTTCGATCTCTTGGAATCAAGTTTGAAGACTTACTTCCTCACTCTAAAACTCTTTCTTCCTCCTAGAGCTTCTCTCTCTAAAAGGCAAGGTTATGATACCAAATGATAGTGGCTCATAAATGCCTCCCTCTTCCTTCCTTTTAAAGAGCTCCGAAGCCTCAATTTGTCTTTCAATTTATTCAGTGCTAGGACTGACAATAAAGATATGCAAATCAGCTAATATAACTCCATGAATGTTTATATTTTACTTTTCTAAAAGTACTACTTTCTATAGTTGGCTTAACGGAAGAAAAAAAATAAAAATTAATGGAGAATACTGAAAATATTAAACATGAAAATTTTCTACACAAGTCTTGTGTTAGAGAAGGGGTGAGATTCTGTCCCGAACACTACTTGTGAGGTGGGGATGGGTAGAGATTTTGGGATAGGTGATTCATCTCATTTTTTTTCAAAAATTTCATGCAGGTTTTGAAAAGCTGTCGGCTTTGAGAAAATTGGAGACTCTAAATCTTGAATGGAACGAATTTGATCATAGCATTCTGCCATCTATGAGTGCGCTTAGATCCCTTAAGATGCTTAATCTCCATGCAAATAATATTGGGGGATTATTTCCACCTCAAGGTAACTTCAATTGTGTCTGAAAATTCATGATTGTTTCTTATTTGTACAGGGAGTTCAGAACTGGTAATCATAATTACAATTACATAATTATTTTTACTAATCTTGGGATTACTATGTCGTAAACTCATCACTTTGTTGTTTCTTTGTGCAGAATTAGCTTATCTTGGGAACCTGGAAAGGTTGGATCTAAGTTTTATTCAATTTAATGACATCCAAGGTAAAACCTAGCCTTCTTGAAATTACATGCTTGCTTCAAGTTTTCAACAGACAGAGCAGGAAAACCATATAACCTCTGCAGTATTTCATGCACTAACAATAATGGACTATCTTCCCATCCTATTGCATTTTAATCACTGATTTGGCTCATATTGTATAGAGACCCCGGTCTTTTTCATTTGATTATTGTATCCGGACTTAGGTTCCGTAGATTCTGTCATTGTATAATTGTTGTTGTTGTCCCTTATTTTCTCATTTGGAGTTATAGGATGTGTTGGGCAGGTTTGTTTCAGGTTGGTTGGGTTTAGAAACCAAGTGTTGCTGTCCAGAATTTTGGATCTTCGCTTGAGCGAGGAGTTGTTTTTGGTTCTTCGCTCGAGCCGGGGTTTGGTCGCTCGAGCGAGAGTTTGCGTGTAGTATAGACCTGAAGTATTGCATTCTTGGCTCGAGCGAGATTTTCTTCGCTCGAGCGACCAAAGTCTTCCTCGAGCGAGCCTGTCCAGTTTAATTATACGCAGCAGCGGTTTTGATCAGGTATTTTTCATCTTCTTTTGTTCCAAACCTAAGGTCCGACCTCTCTACCCGTACTCACCGTTCTTCTCTTGGTTTGATATTTAGAGTGTGTTTCGGACCCTAGTTGCCTTGATTAAAAAATAGGGGAGCGACGGGCTTTCATTAATCTGAACATTTGGCGATTTGGAGCCACATTTGGTATTTTGGGTATTTCATCTCTGTCTTCTCCATTTGGGGTGTTTTCTTCGAGGTAGGATTTCCTACTCTATTCTATATGTTTTGTTCTAAAGTTTTTTGGTATTTTTGATCATGTTGGATCACTTGGGTAATATTGGGGAAAAACCCTAGTTGTATTAATAAGTTATTTGTATTAATTAATAAAGGGAAATTGGAAATATAGGTGGTGAATTCATGGAATGAGAATTCATTGATTAAGTGGTGTAGTTGATATTTAAATCCACTCAACATTGAACTGTTCGATATATTTATTTTTCAGTTTAGAAAGAACTGTTTTGGGGCTATCGGTGGAGGATAAGCTGTGATGGTGTAGACACTGCCATGTGGATTAGGGAACTGAAACTAATTCACATTGGTTGAGTCATTCATTTGACTGCTGAATTAATACAGACATTATGTGTATTATGTGTGGTATATGTTATGTGTTTACATACATTGTTTTGTGTGGGAGGAGATAGGCGAGTACTCCACGGTTTAGGGGAAGATAGGCCGGATGGAACCTCTAAACCGATTTGGTTTTGAGGAGATAGGGATGGACTCCATTAGCATCACTTTTATGTATGCGTATTATATAGAATGTTTTAGTGATTACAGGATAAAAGTGTATCATTCTGGAAGTATGAAGTGTTTTTGATTTGAGCTTGAGTCTTCATTGTATTTGTTGACATTTGGAAGAGTGTGAATATGATATATGAATAATTAGTTTGGTTTTGTAGCCAGGTTCTGAGCCATGTTGATAAAATTGGAAGGTAAAATGAGTTTTAGACAATAGTGTTATGAGACTGTAAAATGAAGTAATTGATTATCTTGGTTAACCATCTGTTGAATGCTATTGCTTTATTCAATGCTTATATTTGGTTTAGTATATTTCTACTGGGCTGTGGCTCACCCTTTATGGGAACATCATTTTCAGGTTCAGGTGATAAGCTACCTCCAAGGACTTAGCTTGGAAGGACTTGGATTCTGAAGACTATTTTCAGTTGTTTGCTTTTATTTGTTAGTACATGTAAACACTCAAGCCTAGGGCTTTATTTATATTTGAGTTAGAACTCATACTTTTGTGTCCAAGTGTTGGCTTGGAAAGATGTAAGCCGGTAGGGCATTTACTTTGATGTTACATGTAATGCTTTTGTTTAGTAAGACTCTGATGAATATTATAATGAATTATTAAAGTGTTTTCTTTAAATAATGCATGCCAATAATATATATAATGGGTTAATTTTGAGGGCGTTACATATTGCCTAGAAAGAAGAACAACAAATATAATCTAGAAAGAAGAATGAGTAAATGTTTCACAATCTTGTGGATACTGATATTGCAGGTCTTGAAGTTCTCTTTTGACCTCGATCTTGATGCAATTGAACTAATTCTCATAATTCTGAATCAGATAGCTCAATTTATAAAGATACATACTCTATGAAGCTTAGACACTTCTACATAGGCATTTGTCCGTATTGAATTCCGACATTCTTCAAATGTTCCCCAACATGTATTGGAGTTCTATTATAAATATTTGGGGGACTCACATCTATTTCTTAGAACACAGTATTGTAAGTTTGAAAAAATAAATTTGGGATTTAATTGGAAAAAAATTTGTGAATTCTTATTAATCTCTCATTCTTTAACTTTTGAATTTTAAGAATGAGTAATGCTAAGTTTCATGAAAGAAATATCATGAAAAACTTCATAAAGATTCTCCACCATTGGATATGTAATTGCATAACATACAATAAAACATCACAAACTAATCTAAAGGTAGATAATTTTCATGAAGCCTTTGACATTACACTTTAAGAATTGTAGAGCCCAAAACTTCCGATTTGCTTATGAATAGACTTTTTAAGTTAGGATTTGTTTATTGACACTTCTTTTTTAATATGTAGAAAGAATGTAAAAAATGATTTATGACTATTTTGATATAATAAAACATAATTCATCTGTTTAGTTTTCAAACTCAAAAACTAGTTTTAGTAATTTTATTTTTCTTATATTTTGGCTTTAGTGAATTTCTTTAAATTTGTGTCAATTTTTTTTTTTTAATTTTTAGATACACGTAAAAGGTAAAATATTTGCAACAATGTTAGGTACCCATAAAAAAGTATCCATAAAAGTATCTAAAAAATAAAATGTGTGGATCACATTCATTCTAAGGGTGGCCCACATAATACCAAGTTCAATCACTTGGAGGATAAATTACATATTTCTTTTTCGGGGGTACATATCCTTTTCCAAATATTTGTGAAGAAATTTGAAGAAACTTCACAAAAAATTAAAAAAAAATATGGACATTTTTGTGTGTTTTTTCTTTTATTTGGTGATTTTTTTTTAGTTTTTCTTTAAAAATATATTATTTTTTAAGTGCATCTAAGAAGTAAAAATATTTGAACTAAATATATAAAATAAAAAAATTAAGAGAACTTGAAAAATAAAAAATTCGAAAGCAGCTTTGAAAAACTAAACAAAACAAAGTCAATGCTTTCACTGTTAAAGAAAAAAATAAATAAATAAAGTAAAAGAAGAAGCAATCACTACGCTAAAATTGGGCTTTAGCGGCGGTTTTTTACCGCCGTTAAAGGTTATAAAACAACGGCGGTTTTGTTACCGCCGTTTATGCGCATGTTAGAAAAAGTACAACCGTCGTAAAAAGGTAAATTACCGTCGTTAAAAGTCGACCAAAAACGGCGGTAACATAGGACCAAAAACGGCGGTTTTTTACAGCCGTAAATAGGTTCAAATTTTTCAAAAAATAATTCTTTCTTCTTGCACTTCCCAAGTCTTGAACCCTCAACCTTTTATCCACCCACACTAACCACTCTACCATAGCCACTCTTCATGAAATATATTCCCTAAATAAATATTTAAACATTACTTTTACTTTATTGTAGATGGTTTCGCCGGAGCTCGCCGGAGCACGCCGGAGTTTCACCGGAGTTTTGCCGGCAAAGACCGCCGTCATTAACGGCAGTAATGATTGGGCATAAATAATTTCAATCATGTATCCCGTTTGACCAAAACCTCTATACTATGAGGTCAGTGATTCGAATTTTCTAACCTGTGTGAGGGTATTGTTCCCCGTATATTTGTTGGGGTTTCTCTCTCCCTCTTTGAGAGTTTTTTTGTACTAATTGTGTGCTGTATTTAATTTTTATTATTATCATTGTATTTCATTAGGTTTCATTGTAATATCATATATGAATCGATCAAAATAATAATAAAAATACATTATTACAATCATATAGCAATATTAGCAAGATGAGGTCTTATAAATTCTCCCCTTCTTTTTTCATAGCAATTTCTCCCCTCCCCATACCCTGTTTTAGCAGGAGCCCGTGTATTCGGTTGCCCTTTTTTAATCTCTCCCCTCTCTCTCTATTCTGTTTCCTTTAATATGGGAATGAAATAACCAAATGAAAATTATATATGTAAATGGTAACTATAAACATAATGAATTTTCGTAGTGGTTTATTAAATGTCATTCTCATAGCTCCAATGAAAGATTGATCGATTCAATGTTTCATTAACTTATAATATAATGAACATTATCAATTTCTTGGAAGTTACAAAAATATGAAGCAAAAGTTGTTAATTTTTAAAAATTTACTGCAGGTTGTGAGAACTTATCGAGATTGGAAAATCTAGAGACGTTATATCTTCGAGGAAACAGGTTCAACAAGAGCGTCATTCTATGTTTGAGTTCATTGATATCCCTCAAAAACCTTTCTCTTCAAGGCAACAACTTAGGAGATCCCTTTCCTGCCCGAGGCATGTCTATCTTTATGAGAACTCCCAAAGAGAATATATTATCCATCCTCATCTTATTCATATCTTAACAAGAACTGTTTCAATGCAGAATTAACGGTGTTGAAAAACTTGGAGACGTTGGATTTAAGCTCTAATGAGCTTAGCTCCCTAACAATGCAAGGTATGACTTAAGAACTTCCTAGATTCAGTTGAATAGAACTATCAATAAATTCTCTTTTTTTATGTATGAGTTCATGTTTAAACCACCTGCTATGGGGACACAAGCACTAAATACCATGATTAATGGCACAACTATAGCTTGCAGCAATGGGTCAAAAGTATATCTGTTTATTTGCAAGCAACTTCTTAAATATTGATCTACCCATCTAGAAATATTATAGCATGTTTACAGGCACCCCCATTTGGTTGTTTTTGTTAGCTCAGTAGCCCAACTAAAATAATGATGAGCCATTAGAGTTTTAGCCGTTGGTATATGTTGTACTACAAGGTTTTGTTGAATTAGCAGGAAAAGATAGCATAGGAAAGTTATTAAGCATAAAAAAATAAGCAGAAAACATAATTATGTGGTTTACCTTCTTTACCCACCAAATTGACTGTACTACCAAAATACCCAAACAAAATAATACTACTTACAAACCACAACTTAATAGATATGATACCAAGGCATAACCCTTTAACTTGCTTTTTTAATAGAAAATTTCCATTTGGAGTCAGTTTGCAATTTTGGCCTAAATATTCTGCTCAAGCAGCACTACTCATTCTTCTTTAGAGTATCAACTCTATTACTCTCAAAAGAAACATGCTCTGCCATGAGAGGAGAGCCCCTCAACCCTCGTATTAAAACCTTGGGCATGCTCAAAATTTTAACTCTAAGCCTCTTTTAGACCAAATTATTATTGCAAAGATTATGAAATTATTGCCGCAAGAATACTTCATAAAAGAAAAACCAACACCTAAAGATAGGAACTTGAGACAATTTCCAACAAGTTCACATAAAGAGAAGGGCCATGAATCAATTAAAGCGAAGAGGATTTGACAAAGGCATTGGACAATGCATGGATCTTAGAGTGTTGTGTCATTCATTGAGCTTCAGAAGAGCATTTTAATGTCTACTTGAAATCAATAATATATAGAAATCTGATGTTATAACTTTGTATTTAGATAGCTGACACTTTGCTTGATAGTAGCATTCAAAATCATAGATTTCTACCGTGCAATTATGTGTAAAATAATGATGGTGCCATTCAATGATTGTGCTCTTGATTTTCAAATATTTAAATAAATAACAGAAAAGCCCAAAAAGAGAAAGCAAGACAAAAGAAAAGGAAATAAAAGGCCGGGAAATAGTTGTTAGTACTTCTAGCTCTACAATTTCTTTTGCTTCATTTTGTTTATTATTTATTATATATTATCTTTTTAACTGGTTCAACTTACCTATTGATTTCAAATTGAAAATATGATTGAATACGTTAGATGTTACTTATGAAAGAAATTGTCTACATTGTCTGGTTTTATACATAGCAGGTAATTCCCCATGAGTAGAAACAAATGGAAGTGTATTGATTCTTTAATTAAAATGACATAGCTAGTGGTTTGTAGTTTACCTAATTATTGTTTTTGGTGAAATAAGGGGTGTGTGTGTGTGTGCTAATTCCATACCACTATATATATATATTCTCTACAATTGTGAATCAGAGTGAAAGTCTTTTTACAAGGTACCTAATTACCTGTGAAAGCAATAAGTTGGTCATTTTCACTTATGGTTCTTTGGGGTTGACTTTTAATGACATTTGATCATGGTCATATGCTCAGATTCTAAACTACTGTCTAATTTGAGCAAGATGAGACATCTGGATCTAAGTGGTAATCATTTTGACAAGGATGCCTTCAGGATTTTGGGTGCTCTCCCATCCCTTAAGTTTCTATCGTTACTGTTCAATCAAATGGAAGGACCACTTTCTAACCAAGGTATGTGTATTTTTTATTTCTCAAATTCATGCTACTTAAGTTAATTTTTTTAGTTCCATTTGAGTGTTGAGAACACTTAAAATAGTTGGAAAAATTAAGTCTTACGGCTAGCAATTTTGTGCGAACTTATAGTTCTTCTTTGTCAAATATATCTTTCTGGAATCTATTACTGCCATCAATGGTATCACTGTCCTTAAATTTTTTTAACATTACATTTTCATTTGAAATTGAGCTACTAACTGAGGTGCCCATAGAATATAGGTCACAACATCAAATTATATTTATCTCTATTTTCTTTATCTCAATCTAATTAACGAGTCTCTTCACCTGGGTTACAGAATTGACTTATAATCTTAGCAATCTGGAGGTCCTCCTCCTCAGAGGAAATCTGCTCAATGGAACACTACCAATGGAAGGCAAGAATTTTGTTATTTATATTGTCTCAGGATCACCTTGCAATCTTGATTGTATTTTGTTGAGTTCTCTTGGCTCTATTTTACCTTTATCATATGTTTTGGTAGGTTTGACATCCTTCCGCCATCTTCAGATCTTAGATTTGAGTGAGAATAATTTCTTTGCAAGTATTCCTCCATCCATAGGAGCATTATCTTCTCTGAAAGCTCTATCTCTGGCTCAAAATAACCTTAGTGGTTCTTTACCAATTCAAGGTAAAAATTCTATTCGTTAAGGTTATCTATTATAAACTAAAAGGCCAACAAAATAGAAATTCAAAGGCCAACAAAAATTCTATTGCTTCCTTTCTGTTTTTTTTATTTTATTTTATTTATTTATTTGCTTCATGCAAAGCAAATAAATATACTAGTATTGAAGAAAACTACGAACTAGCATCATCTTTATGTTTTCAAGAGTTAGCTAGTGTTTGATAAAATTGGAAGTTGAAAACTAAGAATTGAGGAAAATTCTAATGTACACTCCTTTCAAAAAATGTGTATCATATGAACCCCTAAATATGTTATTTTCTTTTTTAGTTATGTCATTTTCTTTTTTAGTTATGAAAAAATTTCTTTTTTAATTGTGACATTATTTTAGTTATGACACATGAGTTCTTTAGTTATGCGACGTGTTGTGTTTAATTATGATATACTTTTTTTCTTTTTTCTTTTTTAATTATGACTCAAAAAATTGAAGTTATGTTATTTTTCTTTTAAGTTATAAGGTGCATATCGTGCACACTTTTGAAGAGTGTGCACCATAGTGTTTCCCAAAAGTTGAAAATTACTCTCTTTGTCCCAAAATATTAGTCCCTTATTCCATTTTTCATTATCCCAAAATATTAGTCCATCTTCAAAAATTAATGACTAAAATAATATGAATTTTCTAGTTTGCCTCCTTTTAAATTCATTAACAACACAAAAGGTAGGTACAATTATAACAATTGACATTCTCAAAAAAAATATACTACCAAAGGGTAATTTTGAAAAATTAATATTTATAAAGTGCAATAATTGTACTACCAAAAAAGTTGAATTCCCCAAAATGGACTATTATTTTGGGACGGAGGGAGTACTGAAAATTGAAAGCTAAATTTTTTAAATTAAAAAGCTGTTTGATAAAAATTTAAATGCTGAAATTGTTTGATATGTAAGAGATTAAATCTGAAAATTATTATTTTGAAATTGTATCTTTCAAATTTTATATTGTGATGGTAGTGGTGGTGATGATGGTGAGGTTATAATAGTATATGTTGATGCTTGTGCATATGTATTTATAAATTCAGTCAATATTAAATAAGTTTCATATCACTTAAAAAAATTTTAACTTTTAGCATAATTTTTAGACCCAATTGAATTTTTAAGTGATATTAATTGTAATTAAATAAATGTAATTGATTTTCATTTAATACATTCAGTTTTAAATATTGAATTGTGTTATCAAACAACACTTTATATATATATAATAATAATAATAATTTTTTTTTTTATAGAGTACTATGTAAATACATGGCATTACAAACTATGCGTGTTTCATAAACTTCTTGTTTTGTAGGTTTGTGCAAACTGAAGAAACTTGAGGAGTTAGATCTCAGCCATAACCATTTTGAAGGGATCCTTCCTTCATGCCTAAGCAATTTGAGATCTCTCAAGTTTTTTGATATTTCTCTAAACCAATTCACAGGAAACATTTCTCCATCTCTGTTTGGAAGCCTCAACTCCCTAGAGTACATTGATCTTAGTCATAATTGTTTCGAGGGTTTATTCTCATTTGGGTCATTTGCAAACCATTCAAACCTTGAGGTGTTTGAATTGATAAGTGACAATGACAAATTTGAGGTAGAGACTGAATCTACAGATTGGATTCCCATGTTTCAGTTGAAGGTCCTTGTTCTATCAAACTGTAAGCTCTCTGGCAAAGTTCCAAAATTTCTACTTTACGAAAACAAATTAAAGGTCATCGATCTCTCCCACAATAACTTGACAGGTTCTTTCACAAACTGGTTATGGGTGAATAATACGGGATTAGAAGTTTTAAACCTGCGGAATAACTCTTTTGTCGGTCAATTTTGTTTGCCATCACACCGCTATATAAATACTTATTGGATGGATATCTCGAACAATCGCTTAAGTGGGCAAATTCAAGCCAATATGGGGCACATATTTCCATATATTTTTTACATCAACTTATCTAGGAATGCTTTTGAAGGTGGTATCCCATCCTCATTTGGTAAGATTAGTTGGTTGGAATATCTGGATTTGTCCACTAATAATCTTTCAGGGGAGGTACCAAACCAGTTAGTCAGAAATTGCAGAGCATTAAAGATTTTAATATTATCAAATAACAATTTTCATGGTCAAATCTTTTCAGCTGCATTCAACTTGACTTCGATATGGAGGTTGCAATTGAATGATAATCAGTTTGCGGGGCCTCTAACAAATGTGCTCTCCAAATTGTCTAATTTGTACTTTCTGGATATTAGCAACAACTACATGTTTGGCAAGATTCCAAGTTCAATGGATAACATGACATCGTTGGGCACACTAATCATCCGAAATAATTCATTCAATGGTGAGTTCCCATGTGCACTGGTTCCAAATGTGTTTATGGACGCTGCTTATAATTTGTTTTCGGGATCAATACATCCTTCTTGCTCAAACCCAAACCTGGGATATGTGGAGCATATGCATTTGCAAGGGAACAAGTTCACAGGATTAATTCCAAGAGCTCTCCTTAATTCGTCAAATCTTTTGACCTTTGATATAAGAGAAAATAGCTTTAGTGGCAGCATTCCTGATTCTATTGGAGTGGCTTCTAACCTCAGAATTCTTTTGTTCAGAGGGAACCAATTGAGTGGTTCAATTCCAACTCAATTGTGTCAATTAACTGAGATAAGTTTGATGGACCTTTCCAATAACTATTTAGATGGGTCTATTCCCCAGTGTTTCGGCAATATCACCTTTGGCATGATAGGGGCTAGTGACCAGGCCTTCATGCAAACAATTGTATCTTGGTACGGTAGGCATACGTTTTACCATTATAATGGTGTCCTAGAAAGGAATTTTGAGATCCATGATAGGGATACCATGTATGCCAAAGCAGATGAAGTTGAGTTTGTTACTAAAAGTAGGACCAACTTCTACTGGGCTGGTAGCATCCTTAATTTCATGTCTGGATTGGATCTGTCATGTAACAAACTAACAGGTGAAATACCTTTTGAACTAGGGAAGCTAAGTAGTGTTCGTGCACTGAACTTGTCTCACAATCTCTTGACTGGACCCATCCCGAAGGCCTTCTCAAACCTTATCCAGATGGAGAGTTTGGACCTTTCTTACAACAATTTGAGCGGAAACATCCCAACAGAACTAATCAATCTACATTTTTTGGAAGTGTTTATTGTGGCTCACAACAATTTATCAGGTAAACTATTAGACAGGAAAGCACAATTTGGGACCTTTGAAGCAAGTAGTTATGAGGGAAATCCATTTCTTTGTGGACCGCCATTGGAGAAAAATTGCACACCCATCATTAATTTGCCACACTCGCCAATAACAGTATCCTCAGGCAAAACTGAAAGGAAATGGTATGATATTGATCTAGTGGCTTTTTCTGCCAGTTTTGTCGGATCATACATCAGTTTCTTGTTTGGATTTGCTATTATTCTTTACATCAACCCATACTGGAGACAAAGGTGGTTCTATCTGATTGAGGAGGGTATGTATTCTAGTTATTATTTTATTTCTGATACTCTTGGCAAGATATTTTAGGCCTTCTCAATAATTAGCTATGGTTTGTTTTCATGGACAAGTATTGTTATGGCTTGTTTCTTTGGATAAGTATGGCTAGTGTTGTAAATGGTATTTGCTTTGTGTTGCTTATTAATGAAGACAGTGGATTTAATTAGTACCATTATTGATAACTTAGCTTCATTTCCTTTCTTTGCTAATTGGATATTGCTAGGAGCTTTTTATATTGTCCTATTTGTTGTTACTCATGGGCATGCTGATTTATTTTTTGTATTATTATGTCATGTTTGTATCTAGCTCCTGCCGTGTTAATGTATTAAAACTCAATTTTGAAACTGAATTGAATTATAGTGCTTGAAGTTCCCATGCTGTCAATTTGAACCGAAGTATTAACATTTGCACTTTAGACACGGCTGTTGTGAGGCCTACATAAAGAGTATTCTATGATTAGTTATGTGATTTATTTTATCTGTAAAATCATTGGTTTTCAAAAACCTCTTTGAAACTTGAGATTATAGTCAACCCATCCCAATTGCTTTGTTGTTTCCTTTACAACGTACCACTCACTCAACTCACTCTTCACCTGCTACTTCCCACATTCAAGACTTTTGTGGCTTCTTGTTGAATAAAATGATTAGAAAAGATTAATTTTCAAAGGCAATAAATTCTAAGTGATGATTCAATTAGAGTCAATTGGGTACACTTATAACTTATCTAGCCAAAGAAAATCATACGTGAATAACACAAGATCATGACACAAAAGTTAAAAAATTTATTTGCTTAGACTATAGTAAAGGGACAAGATTATTTACTGCAGAATTGTTTGTAATTGTCCAATTCGAAATAAACAAAAAACAAAAAAGACCAAGTGAAGGTTCACTTGTTCATTTGTCAAGTCAATCGGAATTAGGAAAAAAAGACCGAGCCGAGTTCATTTGTCAAGTCCTATTTTAGGAACTTCATAATTTTAGTCAAAAAATTTAGGATTCACTACAAAAAAGTCAGTTATTATTGTTTCTACTTTTTACAAGTCTACTAATAAAAAGTAAAAAATTACTAAAAGAGTCTATTCCCAAAATTCTTAATTGATTGGTTTTTACAGATTTTATTTTTTGACATGCTATAATAAACTTGTGTACTTGGGCAGGATAACCATGCAACATATAAACTAGGTTTGATTATTGTGGTGCAAATTGGATAGACATTCAGGCCCTGTTTGTTTTCAGAGTGAGGTTTGATGGGACTATTAGTGTGGTGGGATTGAGTGTGAGGTAGGGATGGGCGTGGGCTGGTTGCGGCCACGGAACCTCCAATCCGTCATCCGTCTGCCAGATTGGCGAATTGAAGAAAATCAATCCACATCCGTCTGCCAATTCGGTGGATGTGGATTGAGCGGATTGGCAGTTTGGCGGATGGATGCAAATCAGTCTGGCGGTTTAAAATTTTATAAATTTTCAACATAATTGAACTTGTGCGCTTCCTCAAAAAAAGAAAAAGAAAGTATTACAATCAATGACTTAAAAAAATATTACAATCACTACATGCATAATCCAAAGCAAGAAAGTTTGAAACTTTAGAATATCACAATCTATGCATGTCTCATCCACATACTACAATCACAGCATGCCTCATCCACATAAAGTATTACAATCTGTGGTTCTTAAAATATAAAAACAATTCAAACCACCAAAACCATGAATAGAATAGTAGTAGAGATTGTATGTTTCTGTATTGTTACATCTATATTTGTTTTTGAAAACAAAAACCGACCAGCATATATCATATTTCTATTTATTATTTTTAGAGATAGATTTAAAAACCAAAAAATATAGACAAATAATGCATTTATTTTTTTCAATTCAAAAAAGATATTCAAGTTGAAAACTTTTTTTCAACAGAATATTTAAACTCTTTTTTAATTGAAAACACAAACAGAATATTTAAACAAACTGAAAACAAAAAATCTTATAAATTACTAGGGGTGCTCGCGGTTTGGCGGTTCGGTTGTGGCCAAAGAAATCTCAAATCCGCCATCCGTCCGCCAAATTGGCAGATTGGAGAAAATCAATCTGCAACCGTCCGCTCGTCATCACGCATCCGTCCAAAATGCGGCGGATCAGTTTGGTTTGGTTGGTTTTGGCAGATCGATATATCCGCTGCTCACCCCTAGTGTGAGGATTATTAATGTAGTGGGATTGAGTGGAGAATTAAGAAAAATTGTGTTCGTTTCATGTCCATTGGACTAGCAATAGTTCTTGTTTGTTTTGTCATCTATGAATGAGATTAACTATATAAAATTTAACAAATACACTTTTTTTTTTTTTTTTTTGAGAACCAGAAAAACATGCAATATATTAACAGAAAAAACAGATTACAGGAAACCAAGATAACCATGCAACACATAAGCCAGGTTTGATTATTGTGGTGCAAATTGGATACACATTCAGGCCCTGTTTGTTTTCAGAATGAGGTTTGATGGGACTATTAGTGTGTTGGGATTGAGTGCAAGGATTATTAATGTAGTGGGATTGAGTGGAGAATTAAGAAAAATTGGGTTTGTTTCATGTCCATTGGACTAGCAATACAAGGCAATAGTTCTTGTTTGTTTTGCCATCTATGGATGAGCTTAACTATATAGAATTTAACAAATACCCTTTTTTTTTCTTTTTTTCCTTTTTTTTTTTTTTTTTTGATTTTGAGAACCAGAAAAACATGCAATATATTAAAAGAAAAAATAGATTACAAGAACAACAAAAGAAAAAATCTAATACAAACTACAAAAAGATTCAAAAAAAGCCGCAGTCTGAGAAGACCAAATCTACTCACAGATGTAGTCTAGGCTCCAACCTAAGGATGGAAGGTCTGCCTCAAGCATAAAACCACTATCGCTGCCGTCAAAGAGGACGTCGTCCGCCACTGTAGTTGCTCAAATTCCGCCACTGCGTTGTACTAGAAGGCTGAAGCTTAAGAACAACAACAAAAAAACCATTAGGAGTAAACCAAAAATTTATGTAGTATTCAAAGGAAATATCGCAAAATCCCTATTCGTAACATAAAAAGCCAGATCTACACTCCTATAGATCTACACTTTAGAAGTGTGAAGGAAATCATCAGATTGTTGTCGAAGCATCACCGGAAATCACCTAAAAAGAGAATCTCTCTCTCTCTCTCTCTCTGGACTCACGATCCCTTGTTGCATATCTACCCAACAAACAAATGCAAATGACTTATTAAATATCACTACAAAAAATTAAAATTTTAGAGAATAAAATTTAAGAATAAAATTATTTTTTAAGGACTAAATATTTTTGTTACAAAAGATGATGTAATTATATTTTTAGCAATGAAAATTGAACATTAGTGGTGAATTATTATCCTTTTGGGACCAAATTTTTTGTCTCAAAAATTAAACCATATTGAGACCAAATTATTTTGTATCTAAAAGTCAATTTATTAGTGACATTTTTAAAATTTTGTCGCTAAAAACCCTGTCTTTGACTTTTCAGGACTACCTTTAAGCGACTATCCTCATGATGATAGAAATTGGTCCCTAAATGTCTTTTATAACAAAATTTTCACTTTTAGAGATTAAAAATTTGGCATCTAAAACTCTTATATGTTGTAGTGTATGGTATCACATTGATTGTATTTTTTATCTCATTTTTTTTTCTTTTGTCAACACAAAACAATTATAAAAAGACGAAAAAAATTGTTTTAATTTATAGAAAGATAAAAGCAAAAGCTGGGGGGAAAAAATAATTATAGCACCATCACTCTGTTTGGTTTGAAATTTTCAAAAATAGTTTTTTGAGTCTTCAATTTGTATTTTTGTATTTTTAGTGACTTTTAAAAAATATTTTAATCATCTTTTTTACTTTTTAGATTCACTTAATCTTGATATATTTAAAAAGCATAAAATTTGTACAAAAATCTTTAGAAAATTCATTGAATATAACAAAATATGAAAATGTATTTAATTTTTGTATTTTTTTATATATTTTTTGTATTTGGTGAATTTTGTTTTTAAAAAAAATTTCAAAAATATTATACTTTTTAAGTGTATCTAGATTAGGTGTGACTAAAAAATGAAATAAAATTTGAGTAAAATATTAGAAAAAAATTAGTAAAAATAAAAAGTCACGAAAAATTAAAAAAGAAAACTCAATTTTCAAAAAAATAAATAAAACCAAACAAGATAATTGATTTTATTTTTTTTATTTCATAGAAGCAATCAAGGAACTTGACATGGGAACTATTTACAATACATTGAAATGACCAAAAAGTATTAGAAAAAGAAAAGGGGAATTTCAACATAGTGGGACAGGCAAAAAAAAATTGCAAAAACATGTGGGGAGCAAGTGATTCTGTGATGGGGTGCAAGTGAAAGGATGTAGCGGTGCAAGTAGTGTGACTTGCGCCCCTCCATGTTTGTGTAAAAAAAAAAATTCTGCTCCACTGGGATGTAATTCCCCCAAAAATAAAAGAATATGATTTCTATTTTACCATAATAAGTATATAATAAAAAGAAACATATTTGAATGAGGGTAATATGGTCATATAACATGTAATCCCAAGGACTTCATTTTGGGAATTTGCACCCCGCAAACTTGGTTGGACACCCCATTTTTTAGGGAAAAAAATAATACCATTATACCCCTAAATTAAATTACCAAAAACCCAAAACTCTTAACCTTTCTCCTGTAGCTTCTTCATAGTCCGGTCGGCCCTCCCTACTCCGGGCAACCATTTAGTGCCATCCCTTTTACTCCGGCTAACCATTGGCTGTTGCAATCCTTCCTCTCCCTTCTTCTTTTTCTTCTTCCTCTTCCTCATCCGCCTGCTCATTTGCTTTTACCCACCCTGCCATCGCCGCCTCTTCTTTTTTTCTTCTTCTTCTTTGCCTACCAAACGCTAACCTTCCTCATCCCCTGTTGTACCTTCCATGGCTGTCACTCACCCCATCGCAAACCCCATTTCCCATTGCGACTCTCTTCTCTCTCCCTCATTGGGAAACCTTCCGCAACCATAAAAAAGCTCCACAACCACGATCGCGACTATCTTCTCACTCCCCTATCGCAAAACCCCTACAGCCGCGAAATCCCGCATCACCGCTACTTCATCATCATCATCATCATCTTCTCTTTTTTTTTTTTTTTTTCCAAAAACCCTAGATCTGATTAGAT